GCGAGATTCATGTTAGTTATAATATTAAAATGCATATGGAAATGTTGTTTCCATTAAAAATTTAAAAAATCAATGTGTTTTCATTAGAATTAACTATTTCCCAGTAAGCATAAAACGTGTTCTGATGTTTTTATTTTGGTAGCAGAAAGGTGACACTGTAACAGTCTATATAAAGTCGTCATTATTTGTAGGTAACCAGCAAGGAAAACCTGATATTATACTGACGAATGTTGAATGCAATATCTTTCACAGTTGAATTCTCCCAGGTAATGATGTGGGTTCAGATCACATACCTGTTATTCTCCACCTCCAAGCATCTCCCTTTAGAATTCTGGGACGCCCCAGACCCAAACTAAACACGCTTCGACTTCGCCAATATATGGAGTTCCTTGGCACGGATCCAACCGCTGATCTTGACAATCAACCGGTCCAGGACATTTACACAGTAATTGCCTCCATACATTCTCTCATTACTGAAGCAACGATGATGAATTGTGACCTAACTAACACCAGAATAATTCAGCAATACAAACCGACCAGAGAGATCAAGGATAAAATGAGGCATTACCAGCAAGAATGTGTGAGGCGCCTACGCACAGGCCAGCTATCCTTCCAAATTATTCAGTCCCTCAGACGTGAAGTCTTAGGCCTCACGCTCCTACACAAACGTCATATTTGGGGTATTCTAGTCAACCAAGTTAACCAGTACAAGAGAGAACCTGCCAGAGTCTGGGGAAAGATCAGACAACTCCTAGGATCGTCAAAGACGCCATTGTCGCGCCTCAGCTATACATATACTGATGACAACAACGAGGTAATAACCACCAGATTGGAAGATGGACACCTGCAGGCTAATCTTAGGGGATTAGTTTGGGTGGAAATCTTTACAGAAAACAACAGCCAAATCAACAATGACAACCTCCGTACAGTCAACCAATGGGTTGCTGAAAATGTGGAGAACCTGTCTAGCAGGCCTCTAGTGGACACCGCACTCCTTGACCCAGAGCACCCGATCACCCGACCCATCGCCCTACGGGAGCTGCTAGAAGTATTAAAGAAAACGTGGAACAAAGCGCCAGGTTTATCAGGAATAACAGTCAACTAACTGAAGCTTCTGCCTCTCAACTAACTTGCAGTCCCTGCTCAATGTCTTCAACGCCATCCTCGTCTCAGGCCACTTCCCACAGGCATTTAAAACTGCCAAAATGATCTTTATTCCGATGCCAGGCAAAAGCAGACATGTCCCTGGAAACTATAGGCCTATCTCCCTGTTGGAGTCGACAGGAAATTGCTTTGAGAAAATGCTCTCAAATCGTATTAACTACTACATGGAGTATCACCACCTGGATACTGAAAAACAGTTTGGTTTTAGGAATCCCAGATCAACACAAAATGCCATCAATATAATTTATGATGCAGCAGACAGTATCAGGAAACAACATTAATATCAACCAGAGATGTCAACAAGGCCTTTTATAGTTTATTGCATATTGGTCTGCTCTTCAAGCTGCAATCCACACCACACCACAACTGGACCCTTTTAAGACTTGTAAAAAAAAAATCTAAGATCAATAATTCCACTGTTTAGCAACAAGGAAGCTAAAGCCTTTTCCCCGACAGCTGGAGTTCTTTGGGGATCGTGCATCAGCCCATTGCTCCTCAATCTCTTTGTAACGATTGCCACGCCCTATTTATAACGACACTATTATCACTCAGTTCGCGGACAATGTCATTCATGTAGTGTCGTCGATGCCTGCTGGCCAAGGAACTAAACACGAGTCAGTCATAAGGAAGACGAAAGAGGAACTAGGAGCCACAGCAAGTTGGGAACAAGACTGAAAAATCGTGACAAACACTAACTAGATTGAATTGTGCTCGGTGGGCAGCTGGGTTAGTTCACTCGGGGTCATCAAAATCGGTGGCATGTTAATACAGGTTAAGAACTACACTACAATTCTGGGCAATGTAATATCGATACTTTTGAATTCCACAGAGCATATCAGTAAAAAAGAGGCCTTAGCCAAAGCACTGTACTAGCTCGGCTGTACCGATTCAGGCAAGCTCCACAACACGTGAAGCTACACCTATACAGAATGCTTATTCGATCAATCCTAGAATACCCATACACCCCGCTTGCTCTTACTAACAGTCAAATATGTTGAAACTTCAAAGAGTTCAAAATAGAGCACTCAGATTTGTAGCATGAGTGACACTTGCCGACAAAATTAGGAATGACAGTCTCCACACTCAATGAAAGATAGAACCGTTGAATAGACGCCTCCACAAACTCCCAGTAACGCAGTTATACAAAATGAAGAACACTTACCGAGTCGTGACGATCCCTTTACGGCATTTAACACTACCAACTATGAGATACGAGATCAGCCCCACAGAACAAGGAGGATGTAACTACAACAAAACGTCAGGCGGTATATCCACAACAGGAATTACCCACGGCCCAGGATACTTAGTAACCCTCTTACGTGATGAGGAATGGGAACCTCCTGATCCAATATATATATAACAGGCACGAACTATGAGCTAACAAGTCAACATCTGACACCAATACCTCTACCAACCAGGACAAAATCATTGTATATATCAACTACAAGCTCCTCTACCAACCACACATCTGCAAGTCACCACAGGACTGCTCTTCGGATGCGGCACCAAGACTGGAACTCTGTCCTCGCATGGTAACTTCTCTCCACCTGTTGTGCAACAGCTACAGCTTGCTGCTACTGGCAGCCAGCAATCATTCACAAAAAAAATCATCACCATCATATATGAGTGCAGTTGTGCCTCTCCATCAATTCACACATCAACTCACACACTTTTATTATCACTAGAATCACTATCAGACGATCCACTGTCACTGGTACTACCCCAACCATCACTACCAGAGCTTCCACTGTCACTGGTATTACCACTATATCACTACAAGAGCTACCAGAGTCACTGTTACTACCCCAACCAACATTACCAGAGCTACCACTCTCAGTGCTACTACCCTCTACAATCACTACCAGAGCTACCACTGGCACCGGTACTATCCCTACCAGAGCTACCACTGGCACCGGTACTATCCCTACCAGAGCTACCACTGGCACCGGTACTATCCCTACCATCACTACCGGAGCTTCCACTGTCACCGGTTCTAGAACTACCACCGTCTCTGGTACGACCCCAACCATCACTACCATCTTGAGGTTATCTTGAGATGATTTCGGGGCTTTAGTGTCCCCGCGGCCCGGTCCTCGACCAAGCCTCCACCCCCAGGAAGCATCCCATGACAGCTGACTAACACCCAGGTACCTATTTTACTGCTAGGTAACAGGGGCATAGGGTGAAAGAAACTCTGCCCATTGTTTCTCGCCGGCCCCTGGGATCGAACCCAGGACCACAGGATCACAAGTCCAGCGTGCTGTCCGCTCGGCCGACCGGCTCCCCTATACCGACCATAGCTATCAATGTCACTGGTAATACCCCTATCATCACTAACAGAGCTAACACTGCCATTGGTACTTTCGCAACAATCACTACCAGCGCTACCACTGTCAATGGTACTACCCCTACTATCACTACCAGAACTACCACTGTCACTGTTACTAACCCTTCCATCACTACAACTGTCATTGGTACTACCACAACCATGACTACCAGAGCTACCACTGTCACTGTTACTACCCCTACAATCACTACCATTCTCACTGGTACTACCACAACTATCACTACCAGAGCTTCCACTGGCACAGTTACTACCCCTTCCATCACTACCATTCACACTGGTACTACCCCTACACTCACCACTAGAACTTCCACTGTCACTGTTACTACCCCTGATATCACTACTAGAGCTACCACTGGCATTGGTACTACCCTTACCATCACTACAAGAGCTACCACTGGCACTGATAATACCCCAGTCATTACTACTAGAGCTACCATTGTCACTGGTACTACCCCTAGCATCACTACCAGAGCTACCACTGACACTGATAATACCCCAAAAATCACTACCAGAGCTCCTACTGTCACTGGTACAACGACAAACATAACTACCAGAACTTCCACTGTCACTGGTACTGCCCCAGACATCACTGTCACAGCTACCACTGGCACTGATTAAGAGCTACCACTCTTACCATCACTACTTTCACTACCACTTACAATGTTACAACCCCTTCCATCCCTACCGCTGTCACTGGTAATACCTCAATCCTGACTACCAGAGCTAACGCTGTCATTGATACCACCCTAACCATCGCTACCACAGCTACTACTGTCAGTGTCACTACTACCTGCACCCATCACCTCCACTTGGGCCACTATCTGCACCCATCACTTCCATCCGAGCCACTATCAGCATCCATCACCTTCACGTGGACCACTCCCTGCAACCCATCACCTACACTCGAGTCTTTACCTCAACCCATTACCTTCGCTTAGGCCACTATTAGAACCCATAACCTCATCTTGGGCCAATATCAGCACCCATCACCTTCACTTGAGCCAATATCTGCACCCCATCACCTCCACTTGGGTCTCTACCGTCACCCAATACCTCCAATTGGGCCACTTCCAACACCCATCACCTACACTTGGGACACTACCAGCACCCATCACCTACACTTGGGACACTACTAGCACCCATCATCACCTTCTTGGCCACTACCAGCACCCATCACTACCAGCACCCATCACTACCAGCACCCATCAGTACCAGCATCCCATGGGAGCCGGTCGGCCGAGCGGACAGCACGCGGGACTTGTGATCCTGTGGTCCTGGGTTCGATCCCAGGCGCCGGGGAAAAATAATGGGCAGAGTTTCTTTCACCCTATGCCCCTGTTACCTAGCAGTAAAATAGGTCCTGGGTGTTAGTCAGCTGTCACGGGCTGCTTCCTGGGGGTAGAGGCCTGGACTAGGACATGGCCGCGGGGACACTAAAAAAAAAGCCCCGAAATCATCTGAAGATAACGAATCACCTCCAATTGAGCTATTACCAGCACCCCATTACCTCCACTTGGGTCACTACAACCAAGCTACCACGGTCACCGGTACTACCCTTACCATCACTACCGGAGCTACCACGGTCACCGGTACTACCCTTACCATCACTACCGGAGCTACCACGGTCACCGGTACTACCCTTACCATCACTACCGGAGCTTCCACTGTCACCGGTACTACCCTTACCATCACTACCGGAGCTACCACGGTCACCGGTACTACCCTTACCATCACTACCGGAGCTACCACGGTCACCGGTACTACCCTTACCATCACTACCGGAGCTTCCACTGTCACCGGTACTACCCCTACCATTACAACCAGAACTTCCACTGTATCTAGTATGAACCCATCATCACTATCATAGCTATCAGTGTCACTGGTAATACCTCTATCATCACTAACACACCTACCACTCTCACTGGTACTGTCACAACAATCACTACCAGAGCTACCACTGTTAATGGTACTACCCTTGCTATCACTACCAAAGCTACCACTGTTACTGTTATTAACCCTTCCATCACTACAACTGTTAATGGTACTACCACAACCATGACTACCAGAGCTACCACTGGCACTGATAATACCCCAACCATTAATACCAGAGGTACCATTGTCACTGGTACTACGACTAACATAACTACCAGAGCTTCCACTGTCACTGGTACTGCCCCAGTTACCACTGGCACTGATACTACTCCTACCATCCTACCGCTGTCACTGGTAATACCCCAATCATGACTACCAGAGCTAACGCTGTCATTGATACCACCCTAACCATCGCTACCACAGCTACTACTGTCAGTGTTACTGCTACCTGCACCTATTACCTCCAACTGACCCACTAACTGTACCCATCACCTCCATCTGAGCCACTATCAGCATCCATCACCTTCACGTGGACCACTACCTGCACCCATCACCTACACTCGAGCCTTTACCTCAACCCATTACCTTCTCTTAGGCCACTATTAGAACCCATCACCTCATCTTGGGCCAATATCAGCACCCATCACCTTCACTTAAGCCAATATCTGCACCTATCACCTCCAATTGAGCATCAACCATCACCCAATACCTCCAATTCAGCATCTACCAGCACCCATCACCTTCACTTAGGTAACTACCAGCTCCCATCACCTTCACTTGGGTCACTACCAGCACCTACCACCTCCAATTGGGTCACTTCCAACACCCATCACCATCACTTGAGTCACTACTAGCATCCATAACCACCTCTTTGGCCACTGCCAGCACCCATCACCTCCACGTAGGCCACTACCAGTTATAAAATAAATAGGTTTACATTATAAATCGTTTAACGTAATACATTATCAGTGGCAACTATTATATTTTACAGCGACTTAACAAATCTGTTAAGTGAATAAGTGTCTGTTAATTACATGACAATCCTCTCTTATTAACAATTCTGAAAAATCTTAGTTTGTTAAACTTTGTAAGATGGTAAAAGTGTCTGGAAACTGAAAATATTAATCGTCATGCAAGTTGTAGTTTTTAACAGCGAGCTTAAACAGTATTACTTAGCCGCGAAAACTTCCTGGATTTTTGTCCGCAGTCATTTGGAATATGAGAGATGAAGTAATGTCATTATCAGTTTATTAAAATTGATTTAAATATTTCTATTCAACAAAGTAGAAAATGAACTATCACTGGCACGATACCACCTATCACTAACATAGCTATCACTATGATTATCCCAACAATCACTACCAGAGCTACCACTGTCACTGGTACTACCCCTACCAGAGCCACCACTGACACTAGTACTACCTCAACCATCAATACCTCTGTTACTATTACAACCCCAACCATCACTACCAGAGCTATACAGTCACTAGTACTACTCCCTATTATCACTACTAGAGCTACAACTGGCACTGATACAACCCCAAACATCACTACCATAGCTATCAATGTCAATGGTAATTCCCCTATCATCGCTAACAGAGCTACCACTGTCACTGGTACTTTCGCAACAATAACTACCAGCGCTACCATTGTCAATTGCCATACTATCACTACTAGAGCTACCACTGTTACTGTTATTAACCCTTCCATCACTACAACTGTTATTAGTACTACCACAACCATGACTACCAGAGCTACCACTGTCACTGTTACTACCACAACTATCACTACCACAGCTACCACTGTCAATAGTACTACCCCTACAATCACTACCATAGCTCCCACTTTCACTGGTACTACCCCTTCCATCACTACCACTACCACTGTCACTATTACAACCCCTGATATCACTACTAGAGCTACCATGGCATTGGTACTACCCCAACCATCACTACCAGAGCTTCCACTGGCATTGTTACTACCCTTTCCATCACTACCAAAGCTACCTCTGGCAATGATAATACCCCAGCCATTACTACTAGAGCTACCATTGTCACCGGTACGACCCCTGGCATCACTACCAGAGCTACCACTGGCACTGGTAATACGACTAACATAACTACAAGAGCTATCACTGTCACTTGGTACTGCCCCAGCCATCACTGCCACAGCTACCACTGGCACTGATGCTACTCAAACCATCACTACTATCACTACCACTATCAATATTACTACCCCTACCATACCTACCGCTGTCACTGGAAATACCCCAATCATGACTGCCAGAGCTATCGCTGGCATTGATACCACCCTAACCATCGCTACCAGAGCTACTACTGTCAGTGTTACAGTAGTAGCAGTTACCTGCACCTATCTGCTCCAACTGACCCACTAACTGTACCCATCACCTGCATCTGAGCCTCTACCTCAAGCCTTTATTTATTTTAGGCCACTATCAGAACCCATCACCTACACTTGGGCCACTACCAACACCCATCACTTACACTTGGGATACTACCAGCACCTACACTTGAGCCACTACCAACACCCATCACTTACACTTGGGACACTACCAACACCCATCACTTACACTTGGGACACTACCAGCACCCATCACCTACCCTTGAGCCACTACCAACACCCATCACTTACACTTGGGACACTACCAGCACCCATCACCTACACTTGGGCCACTACCAACACCCATCACCTACACTTGGGACACTACCAGCACCCATCACCTACACTTGGGCCACTACCAACACCCATCACTTACACTTGGGACACTACTAGCACCCATCACCTCCAATTGGGCTATTACCAGCACCCATTATCATCAATTGGGTCATAACTAGTTATAAAATAAATATTTTTATATTAAAAATAGTTTTATGTAATACATTATTAGTGGCAATTATTATATATCACATCGACTTAACAAATCTGTTAAGTGAATAAGTGTCAGGTAATTACATGACAATCCTCTCTTATTAGTAATACAGATAAAAATCTTAGTTTGTTTAACTTTATAAAATGATAAAAGTGTCTGGAAATGGAAAATATTAATCGTCAGTCAAATTGTAGTTTTTAATAGTTTGCCAACACAGTATTACTTGGCGGCGAAGAAATTCTGGATTTGTCTCCACAGTCATTTCGAATATAAAACATTAGGTAATAATATAATTTCGTATCATATAAATAGGTAAAAATGTTTTTATTATACAATTTAGAAAATGAACTATCACTGGTACGACCCCAACTAACACTACCAGAGCTACCACTGTCACTGGTACTACCCCCCCGTCCCCCGCAACCATCACTACCATCACTACCACTGTCACTTTTACTTCCCTCAACCATCACTACCGGAGCTTCCACTGTCACCGGTACTATCCCTACCATCACAACCAGAACTACACTGTCTCTGGTATAACCCCAGCTATCATTACCATAGCTATCAATGTTACTGGTCATACCCCCTATCATTACTAACAGAGCTACCACTGGCACTGATACTTTCGCAACAATCACTACCAGCGCTACTACTGTCAATGGTACTACTACTATCACTACCAGAGCTACCACTGTCACTGTTACTAACCCTTCCATAAGTAAAACTGTCATTGGTACTACCACAACCATGACTACCAGAGCTCCCACTGTCACTGTTGCCACCCCTACAATCACTACGACTCTCACTGGTACTACCACAATTATCACTACCACAGCTACCACTGTCAATAGTACTACCCCTACAATCACTACCAGAGCGCCCGTCGTCACTGAATTTCCCCCAAATTCACTACTAAAACTTCCATTGTCACTGTTACTACCCCTGATATCACTACTAGAGCTACCACTGGCACTGGTACAACCCCAACTATTACTGCCACAGCTACCACTGGCACTGATACTACCCCAACAATCACTACCACTTTCAATGTTACTACCCCTTCCATCCCTACCGCTGTCACTGGTAATACCCCAATCCTGACTTCCAGAGCTAACGCTGGCATTGATACCACCCTAACCATCGCTACCACAACTACTTCTGTCAGTGTTACTGCTACCTGCACCCATCTGCTCCAACTGACCCACTAACTGTACCCATCAGGAGAGCTGGTCGGCCGAGCAGACAGCACGCTGGACTTGTGATCCTGTGGTCCCGGGTTCGATCCCGGGCGCCGGAGAGAAACAATGGGCAGAGTTTCTTTTACCCAATGCCCCTGTTACCTAGTAGTAAAATAGGTACCTGGGTGTTAGTCAGCTGTCACGGGCTGCTTCCTGGGGGTGGAGGCCTGGTCGAGGACCGGGCCGCGGGGACACTAAAGCCCCGAAATCATTTCAAGATAACCTCAAGACATCACCTCCATCTGAGACACTATCAGCACCCATCACCTTCACGTGGTCCACTACCTGCAGCCATCATCTACACTTGAGCTTCTACCTTAACCCATTACTTTTTCTTAGGCCACTATCAGAACCAATCACCTCAACTTAGGCCAATACCACTACCCATCACCTCCACTTGGGCCACTATCTGTACCCATCACCTCCACTTGGGCCACTATCTGTACCCATCACCTACACTTGGGCCACTATCTGTACCCATCACCTCCACTTGGGCCACTATCTGTACACATCACCTTCACTTGGGCCACTACCAGCACCCATCACCTACACTTGGGACACTACCAGCACCCATCACTGCCACTTTGGTCAATACAACTACACATCACCTCCACTTGGGCTATTACCAGTACCCATTTCCTCCACTTGGGTCACTGCTAGCACCCATCACCACCTCTTTGGCCACTACCAGAACCCATGACTTCCACTTGGACCACTACCAGCACCCATCACCATCAATTGGGCCACTACCAGTTATAAATTGGGCCACTACCAGTTATATTAAAAGTAGTTTTACGTAATACATTATCAGTGGCAATTATTATATTTCACAGCGACTTAACAAATCTGTTAAGTGAATAAGTGTCTGGTAATTACATGACAATCCTCTCTTATTAACAATTCAGAAAAAAATCTTAGTTTGTTAAACTTTGTAAAAGGGTAAAAGTGTCTGGAAACTGAAAATATTAATCGTCATGCAATTTGTAGTTTTTAATAGTAAGCGAACACAGTATTACTTAGTGGCGAAGACGTTCTGGATTTTTGCCCGCAGTCATTTGGAATATGAGAAGTGAAGTATTGCTATTAATTGTTCATTAACATAAGTTTAAATATTTCTGTTCTACATTCTGGAAAATGAACTATCACTGGCACAACCCCAAATATCATTAACAGAGCAACCACTATTACTACCCCATTAATCACTACCACTGTCTCTGGTACTACCACCAACCTTCATTACCAGAGCTACCACTGGCACTGATACAACCCAAACATCACTACCAGAGCTTCCACTGTCACCGGTACTACCCCTACCATCACTACCGGAACTTCCACTGTCACCGGTACTACCCCTACCATCACTACCGGAACTTCCACTGTCACCGGTACTACCTCTAAATCACAACCAGAACAACCAATGTCTCTGGGACGACCCCAACCATCATTACCATAATTATCAATGTCACTGGTAATACCCCTATCATCACTAACAGAGCTACCACTGCCACTGGTACTTTCGCAACAATCACTACCATCGCAAACACTGTCAATTTTACTACCTTTACTATCACTACCAGAGCTACCACTGTTACTGTTATTAACTTACTTTCTCTCCTGTCATTACAGGTATTATCTTACCTTCTCAACTGTCATCACTGGTATTATCTTACCTACTCTACTGTCATCACTGGTATTATCTTACCTACTCTACTGTCATCATTGGTATTATCTTACGTTCTCTCGTTCATTACTGGTATTATCTTACCTTCTCTCCTGAAATCACTGCTATTATCTTACCTATTCTCCTGTCATTAGTGGTATTATCTTACCTACTCTTATGTCATCATTGGTTTTATCTTACCCACCCTCATGTCATCACTGGTATTATCTTACCTTCTCTTCTGTCATCACTGGTATTATCTTACCTTCTTTTCTGTCATCACTGGTATTATCTTACCTACTCAACTGTCATCACTGGTATTATCTTACTTTCTCTCCTGCCATCGCTGTTACTAACTTACCTTCTCTCCTGTCATAACTGGTATCATCCTACCTTTCACTAGTATTATATTACCGTCTCTCCTGTCATCACTGGTATTATTTTACCTACTTTTGGGCATCACTGGTATTATCTTACTTTCATGTTCTTTCATGTCATCACTGGTATTATCTTACCTACTCTACTCTCATCACTAGTATTATGGTAGCTACTCTACTGTCATCACTAGTAATATCTTACCTTCAATCCTGTCATCACTGTTATTATCTTAATTACTCTACTGTCTTCACCAGTATTATCTTACCTAGTCTACTGTCTTCACTGGTATTATTTTACCTACCCTGTTCTCATCAATAGTATTATCTTACCTAATCTACTGTCATCACTAGTATTATCTTACCTTCTTTCCAGTCATCACTGGAATTATCTTACTTATACTACTGTTATCACTAGTATTATGTTACCTAATCTACTTTCATCACTAGTATTATCTCACCATCTTTCCTGTCATCACTGGTATTATCTTACCTACTTTTGGGCATCACTGGTATTATCTTACGTACTTTCATGTCATCACTGGTATTATTTTACGTTCTTCATGTCATCACCGGCATTATCTTACGTTCGTTCATGTCATCACTGGTATCTTTCCTACTCTTCTTTCATCACTGGTATTGTCTTACCTACTCTACTCTCATCACTGGTATTATCGTAGCTACTCTACTATCATCACTAGTATTATCTTACCTTCTCTCATGTCATCACTGGTATTATCTTACTTACTCTACTGTTATCACTAGTATTATCTTACCTAATCTACTGTCATCACAGTTATTATCTTACCTACTTTTCTGCCATCACTGGTACTATTTTACGTACTTTACTCTCATCACTAGTATTATCTTTCCTTTTCTGCTGTCATCACTAGTATTATCTTACCTAGTCTACTGTCATCACTAGTATTATCTTACCTAATCTACTGTCATCAC